CTGTAATCTCATGTTAAATCCCATAGAGCGGGGGGGGGGGCAGCCGAACAATCCTATAAACCACATTATTCATATCTGAATTGTGGTTTAAAATCTGAATTGCGAGTTGAAAAGTGATTCAAACTTATACAGTAGTGACAGGGATAAGGGTTTACCGGTTGTGAACCACTTCTACTCATTTGTTTGGTTAATGTTAGGCAAAAGCAATGAAAACATAATGAAATGAGACTCACATCGCAATAATGCAATTGTTGTACACTTTTAGTTGTCTTCACTTTATTTGTTTTCATATTCTTCTTAAAGGACCAGTTGTTAGAAGACTTATTGTTTGAATAGATGGCAGCCGTCTGTTCCTCAGCGCCGGTATTAGTGGTCTGTTGGCTATAGAGAGCGGCTTTGCATTCAAATAGAAACATATGAGGGACTGAGAGCAGAATAAACGTCCAGTTTTAATGTTGTCTTTACTGCAATGTCTATTATGCACTGCTATAGCATATACAATAGACATTGCAGTAAAGACAACATTATAACTGGACGTTTATTCTGCTCTCAGTCCCTCATATATGTAAATCGTGTCAAACAATGCAAACAATAGATGCAATACTCGCGGCATAATTAGTGACCACAGAGTTGTATGAATTGGTATAATTGTACGGATAAGTAGTGTTTTGAGCCGTATTCGGGTATTGAGTCGATTCAGTGCCAAAACCGACGGCCGCTGCAGTCGGCTATCGATTCAAACATTAATTAAATCTCAGAATTAGTGAACAAAGAGGTGAGTCATCGGTGGTATACCTGAGCTCTTTGATTGTATGAATAGGCGGTTGAATTGGGAGCCGTTTGATTGGTCTGTGGATAAGCCGTTTGGTCGTATGCGCTTCGGGCGGACGACCCGTACATCTGAGCCGTCATTGCATAGGGAGTGGTCGGGACGGGAGTATAGGTTGTCCTTGAAATACATCACAAGTTATTAGTTGAGAAATTTAATGTCATTTTTAATGTCAAACCCGTATTGAGTGCCGGTATGTGTGAAACCATAATAATTGTTTGAAGTCATCACTCAATTCAATAGTCTTCGGCCACACCAGTGGTCGTGACTCACGATTGCGGNAAATTTAATGTCATTTTTAATGTCAAACCCGTATTGAGTGCCGGTATGTGTGAAACCATAATAATTGTTTGAAGTCATCACTCAATTCAATAGTCTTCGGCCACACCAGTGGTCGTGACTCACGATTGCGGTTAAATTGTGGCTAAAAAAAGACAATTTATGGCCAAATGTGTGTTAAATTGAGTGCAAAAACTCCGAAAAGTGTGTAATTTGTTTATTAATAGCAATCAATTGATTCACAAATGGCTGTCATTTGTATTGAATTTGAAGTGAAAAACACATTATATTTCTTCACTCATGTATTGGCAGACATGCGGTGATTGCCATCTGTTGTGAACCGCAACCAAACCNTGTTTATTAATAGCAATCAATTGATTCACAAATGGCTGTCATTTGTATTGAATTTGAAGTGAAAAACACATTATATTTCTTCACTCATGTATTGGCAGACATGCGGTGATTGCCATCTGTTGTGAACCGCAACCAAACCAACGGCTAATCACTTGCCTTAAGATGAGTGCAATGTTTGCGACAACAGGTGTCGACACAATGGATGTGCACCTAATGTGCCAACACTTGTGTTCACTTCATTGACATTAATTCACGTAATGTATTGACAATTGTGTCTCAAATTATTATAACATATGATTTGAACGCAATATTCACGCAATTATTGTAACTATTATTTTAATTTCTATTTTATTTAAACACAACGTTATTATAGTTAACAAAGTTTTAAACCGATTTCGGGTTTAATTGTGTTTTTTTATAGTAATGTTTGTAAGGATTGTATATATTTTGAATGAATTGAAACAAATATAATATAAAGTGATATAAAGTGTGCATCGATTGAAAGCAATGCCACGTGTTTTCAATTGTTTACAATTATTGCAATCAATTGATTCACAAATGGCTGTCATTTGTATTGAATTTGAAGTGAAAAACACATTATATTTCTTCACTCATGTATTGGCAGACATGCGGTGATTGCCATCTGTTGTGAACCGCAACCAAACCTACGGCTAATCACTTGCCTTAATATGAGTGCAATGTTTGGGACAACAGGTGTCGACACAATGGATGTGCACCTAATGTGCCAACACTTGTGTTCACTTCATTGCCATTAATTCACGTAATGTATTGACAATTGTGTCTCAAATTATTATAACATATGATTTGAACGCAATATTAACGCAATTATTGTAACTATTATTTTAATTTCTATTTTATTTAAACACAACGTTATTATAGTTAACAAAGTTTTAAACCGATTTCGGGTTTAATTGTGTTTTTTATAGTAATGTTTGTAAGGATTGTATATATTTTGAATGAATTGAAACAAATATAATATAAAGTGATATAAAGTGTGCATCGATTGAAAGCAATGCCACGTGTTTTCAATTGTTTACAATTATTACACTATTTAATGAAGATTTGATTCAAATCGACAGCCATTTAGTCAAATCATATGTCCATTCATTGGTTTATCACTCATTCGATTCATATAAAAGATATCATAATCTGAAAGGATGTCATCAAATGGTGTGACAGATGTCGGCTCTGAGAACAGGTTTTCATTAAATTTAATTAATGTTTGTCTAAAATTATATTAAATATTAATTTATTGATTAAAAAAGCAGTGAAAAGAATAACACGAAGACTAAGACAAATACAATGAAGGAATCGAAAGGAGAGACGGTTTCGTCTGAGAAGAAGGAACCGATTGATGGAAATGAGGGCAATGGAGGCGAAGACACGGAACAGAAGGACAAGAAGAAAAAGAAGAAGAAACCCGCGAAGAAGGAGGAGAAGAAGGACACGAAAGACACTAAAAAAGGCGGGCCTTCGAAGAAGATGTTGTCTTTGATGAAAGAGAATCTTCAGAAACTGAATGAAGAGGAAGAGAAGTTCAAACGAGAAGAAGAGGAACGCATCGAACGAGAGGAAGAGGCGGAGAGACAACGACTCGAAAGGTTACGCATAGAACAGGAAAAGAAGGACAGAAAGAAACAGAAGGATAAGGAACGGAAGGAACGGCTCAAAAAAGAGGGAAAACTATTGAATGCCAAACAAAAAGCAGACAAACAAAGAGCTCAGGCGAGTCTCGCCGCTGCCATTAGAGACGGACAGATAGTCGTCGGCAGACAAAAGCCTAAGAGTGAGAAAAAAGTGAAATCAGGGGATAAATCATCGGTTAAACCATTGGAATCGCAGGGCTCTGAAGAACAGACCGACTCTTTGCCTAAAGAAGACGAAGAATCAGACGAGGAATCGGAAGCGTCTGATTTGGATGTGAAGGACGATTGGGAAGAGTTAAGTGAAGGAGACTTAGGAGAAGATAAAGAGGAGGTAAAGACGCCAAAGAAAGAGAAAGAAGTGGTGAAACGTTCGGAGAGTATAACGAAACCAATTAAAGAGTTGACAATAAAAGACGAAAAGTTAGAGAAGTTTTCGGACGGCGAACCGCCTAAACGTCAGTTCCGTTCGCCAGTGGTGTGTGTTTTAGGACATGTGGACACCGGGAAGACTAAACTCTTGGATTACATCCGCAAATCACACGTTCAGGACGGAGAGGCCGGCGGTATTACACAACAAATTGGCGCCACATTTGTTCCGCCGTCTGCTATCGAAGAGCAGACCAAAGGAGTGAAAGCAACGCAGAAGAAGGATCTCTTACTTCCGGGTCTTCTGATAATCGACACTCCGGGACACGAGTCGTTCTCCAATCTACGATCTCGTGGCAGTTCTTTGTGTGACATCGCTATACTTGTCATCGATATTATGCATGGATTAGAACCGCAAACAATAGAATCGATTGAATTATTAAAGGCTCGAAAAACTCCATTTATTGTGGCGTTGAATAAAATCGATAGACTTTACGAATGGAGAAGTAATCCACGGAAAGACGTCGAGGATGTGATCGGCTCTCAGGTGCAGAACACAAAACTTGAATTTACTAAACGTGTCAAAGAAGTGATTGTAGAGTTAGCCCAACAGTCTATAAACGCTGCGCTTTATTACGAAAACTATGATTTCCGGTCTTACGTGTCATTAGTGCCGACCTCTGCCTCTAGTGGTGATGGTATGGGAAATCTGATCGCTCTTCTCATATCACTTACACAGTCAATGATGGCAAAGAAGGTTGCCTTCGATCCCATCAATTTAGACGCCACTGTACTCGAAGTGAAGGCAATTCCTGGTTTGGGAACAACTATTGATGTGATTCTAGTGAACGGAAAGCTAAGAGAAGGCGATAAGATAGTGTTGGCCGGACATGAGGGCCCTTTCGTCACACATATCCGATCTATTTTAATGCCGCAACCGCTGAAAGAACTGCGAATTAAGTCCCCGTATCAGGAATTGAAGATAGTCTACGGCTCGATGGGAGTGAAGATTGCGGGCCATGACTTGGATAAGGCTATCGCGGGTTTGCAGTTATTGGTGGCGGAGAACGAGACCCAAATAGAAGAGCACAAGAACTATATTTGGAGTCAATTCGGGAAAGCGATGAAAGCCATAAAGTGTTCGGACAAAGGAGTGTACGTTCAGGCGAGCACTTTGGGCTCTTTGGAAGCGTTGCTCGAGTTTCTTAAGACGTCCAAAATTCCTTACTGTGGAGTCCGTATCGGACCAGTTGTCAAACGAGACGTAATGAAGGCGTCAATAATGTTGGAGTCATCGCCTGATCACGCGGTCATCTTAGCGTTTGATGTCCGCATCGAAAGGGATGCTCAGGAATTGGCCGATCATTTAGGAGTGAAGATATTCAGTGCGGAAATCATTTACCATTTGTTCGATCGCTTCACCGCTTATAAGGAAGAGTTGCGGAAACAAAGACGCGATCAGAACAAGAATTTGGCGGTATTTCCCTGTAAACTACGGATTCTTCCCAACTGTGTGTTCAATACTCGCGACCCAATAGTGGTCGGAGTGTCCATCGAAGACGGCTTAATAATCCCGGGAACACCACTGGCTGTGCCCTCGAAGGCAAACATCGAAATCGGAAGAATAACAACCATTGAAATCAATCACAAAGCGGTGGAAATCGCTCGCAAAGGACAGGAGGTGTGCATCAAAATCGAGAACTTTGGCGGCGATGCGCCTAAACTGTACGGAAGACATTTCGATCACACGGATCTCCTTATGTCGCGACTCACCCGTGAATCCATTGATGTCGTCAAAGAGTACTTCCGGGACGACCTCCAGAAGAGCGACTGGCAGTTAATGATTGAACTCAAGAAGATTTTCGAAATAATCTGATTTCCATTCTCTTGTTCTGTAATTTAATATTCAAATTAAATTTATTTACTTCTGTTCTTAAATTGTATTTTTGTTAAAATTATTGTTTTATAATTTACACAATACTGCAGAACTGATTGGTGTGTATAGCGAGAGAGATAGATAGAGAGAGAGAGAGAGAGAGAGAGAGCAAGTTTGACAACTTATGAAAACACTACTATAGGAAACTTAAAAGTGATTACATTTCTAATGATCTATATTTGAATGTTATTACAGTTTATGAGTTGATTATGAATTGAATGACAACTATTTGACAACAATTTATATTAATAGCAATAGTTATCTAACATTAAATAATACTGTAATTGAATGCATGAAAGAACTGATTGTCTGATTGGTTGAGTGTTTTTGTTGTCAACAAAGTTATGACGCAATCAATGGGTCTTTCAGTGCAATAATGGATGAGATTATAAGTGAAAGCCATAACAGTCTTGAGGACTGGATTGCCATCAAAACAGATCTCTTCGCTACCGATGAGCGACGGAAAAGACATCACTTTCTTGTGGGCTATAATCATATCGAGGACTCGATTGCCATCACATGTCTTGAGGGCACGCGAAGAGCAGCCGATAAGAGGAACAAAGCGATGGCCTCTTCGCTCACGTAATGATTGTCTTAATTATTATTGGATTTAAACCTAATTTACTTTTGATTGCTATAAAGTGTGCAGAATTTGATGGATATTAACACACAGTTGTCACTAATTGAGCCAAATTTGGACCAATACTTCGCACCAATCGCTCAACTGATCCAAAACCGAAGTTCGCATTCGAGGTTATATTCATTGATAATGAGTTTGGGTTTCGGTCTGTGGTTCGGGTAAACCAATGCCTTTCAATGCATTCAGTGTTTTGCTAAATTACCATAATTTAAGTCACATTAATATATCGGTGTATTTGATTATATGTGCCGTTATTTGCTCATGATTTATCATGTTCATTTGTTACCTTTACCTGCAATTGCTATTCAAATAAATGAAAGGATGTAACTTTGATATAAGCACCCCCTCTATAGTAAATACCCCTCTATAGCGAACTATTTATAACCAAATTTAGACTAATTTAAATGTGAATTTTTTATGCTTTACTCACTATTTCTCCTAATTTGTGATAATAATTACTAACGATGCCATCAATTTGAGATCAAGTGCTGACTCTCTGTTACAATTGACTTCCATTTACACAATTGAAGACCAATTGATGGCTGAAGTATTTGAAAGTCTGGCAGAACTCTATGACTTTCATTTACAGCCTTTCGTTAAGTTACGAGAATTTGCCAACAATTGCATCCAAAAATCACAACTCATTATTAATAATCCAGATTTGGGACAACGAGTTAAAAATGAGGCAAAAATAGAGTTGAATGAATCAAAAGAGCAATTTCTGAGTTCAACGGAAGCCATTCAACAGCTCTATAAAGACTATTATCGAAATACTGTGGAACTAATGACCGAACAGACGAACCGAATGAAAGCCGATCAGAAGATGTTCGGCGAATCGGCTTTTCAGGTCATGGGATCTCTCAGTCGTCTCCAGAAGTTAGAACTCTTTCTCATTGAAGAGAAGATAAAATTTTTAAATACAATTAAGACAACCAATGATTTTCAAAAGAATCAAATTAAACAACAATTGAATGAAAACCCGACAAAAAACGAGTTGAAAATTATTGAAAATCAATTGTTTGAAATGGAAATCATTTGTATTGACTCTAAACTAGAGATTCTTTGCGAAGAAGAAAAGTTAGTCAAACAAAAAGTTGTGATTTTGGAGACGGAATCCAAACTTAATGAAAGCGCAGAAGAATTCTTCGACACCGTTGAGGATGAAAATGAATTGAAAACACTTGAGACTTGTGTTCACAAAACATCTAAAGAAAAGAAATTATCTCCACTTAAGACAAAACAAAATCATTTGAATAGAAAGAGAGCTCTTCTTAGAAATAAAAGACAACAAATGATATCTAATAAGTCATCGAAACTACTAAACGAAGCGAAAGATAAAGAAAATTATGAAAAACACCACAAAATTCAGCTCAAAAAGAGTAACAATAATCAGTCATTTTCTGTCGGCAAAAGGGATGACCAAAACGCTAAACAAATCCGACAAAAAACTTTGGAAAGACTCAGAAAATACAATTTAAAAGCTTTGTTAACAGAAAGTAAAAGTAATGAAACTAATGATAATCAGGACATTCATCCTCTCCCTCCCTATCCGGACACAAGTGCTCTTAAAATTAGTGCCAAAACACAGGATCTGCCGCTACCTCCACCTCCTCCTCAGGATGAGCAGCAAATCCAAGAATCAGAGAATTCCCAAATTTTATTGCCTTCAATGCCTTCATTTCAAGCTCCCGCTCCCCCGCCGCCGCCTCCTCCGCCCCCTCCACCCCCTCCACCCCCTCCACCTCCTCCCCCACCCTCTGTTCCTTTGTTCCCATTAACGGCTGGAACTGCTTTTAAACTGAAGAAAACTGATTGCATTGCTATGCGAGACGAGTCGTCCCAAAAGAAAGTGGGTTTAATAGAATTGAACGATATATTGAAAGTGAGGGGTAATCTCAAGCCGACTGGAAGTGCGAACCAAAACAAAGGCAAACAATCCAAAGGCGATATCGAAGGCAATCTTTGGCGAGGAATGGAAGCGGCGCTCAATAAAAGGCGAGATATTATTCAAGAATCGGACGAATCGTCCACTGATAGCGACGATGAATTTCAATGACTTTTTTACAGCGAATTTGTTTTTATATATAATTCTTTGTGTGATTTCTTGTTATTATTGTGTTTAATATATTATTCATATCTAAAAGATTTACAATTTATCGGATTTAAAATAAATACATTTAATATAAAATAATCAATCAATTAATTGTCAAACAAGTGATAATAAGTTTAAAAGGGCTTTAAAAATGTGTACAAACATTATTGATGCGTTCAATGCATGGGTTAGTGTAACGAGAAGGGCGTAACTCTTATCGCAGAACATCTATACTTTAGGCCCTTTAATGTGAAACAGTTTTACGCAATATTAGGTGTAAAACGTGTTTTAATTGTTTGACGAAAACAAATTGTATGAAAGCATTGATAATACAGTTATGGAGTATTTAGAGCCCACCGGAAGTGATGGCGAGACCACTGCCAGAATGTAAGTCCCGAAGTAAGCCATGGATTGTCACTAATCCTATGCCATAACACCCATCGGTATAACAGACTTTGCTGTCAATGCGGATCAGCCATCTCTCCCAATCCGTCCAATATGTGTGTGGCGTGTCTTCGCACTCATGTGGACATCACTGAAGGGATTCCCAAACAAGTGATCATCTATTTCTGCAAACGATGCGAACGGTATGTCATTTGATTAACAGCTGTGGAGGCAATGATTACATCCATGTCTTGTCTAAAATAGATATCAACAACAAATGGGACAATGGATTGGAGCGGAACTGGAATCGTCTCAATTGATGTCTTTCTGTCTCAAGAAATTGAAATCTTTGAATAAAGTAATGAATTAATTAATTAATTGCGAAGAAAATTAATGTAAAAGTATTGTAAAATTTAAGGTGAATTTAGTGGACGCGACGTTTGTGTGGACTGAACCGCATTCAAAGCGCATTAAGATTAAGCTTACGGTCCAGAAGGAAGTGATGGGCGGAACTATTCTTCAGCAGACATTTGTGGTGGAGTTCGTAGTGAACGGACACATGTGTGAGGACTGTCACCGACAGGAGGCCAAAGACTTCTGGAAGGCTGTGGTTCAGGTGAGACAGAAGACGGACCACAAGAAGACGTTCTTCTATTTGGAACAACTGCTGATCAAACATAAGGCTCACGACAAGGCGGTGAACGTGAAGGCCATTGACGGAGGGATTGACTTCTTTTTCAATCGCAAAGATGACGCCAAGAAATTGGTTGACTTCTTGATGTCTGTCATCCCCTGTCGTTACATCACTTCACAGCAACTCATATCACACGACACTCACAACAATACCTATAACTATAAGTATACGTTTGCCGTCGAAATTGTCCCCATTTGTAAGGACGATGTGGTCTGTCTTCCTCTGCAAACCGCCCAAAGCATTGGTAATATCGGACAGATTTGTATTGTTATTCGAGTGACAAATCAGGTCTATTTGATTGATCCCTTCACTCTAAGAAGTGAGTCTTTTTGACATACCTTTTGTTTTTATCGAATATTCAACAAAACTATTTACCAATTGATAGCATTTGAATTGACGGCAAACAACTATTTCCGTCACCCTTTCCGACCGATCTGTAGCTGTAAACAAATGACTGAATTCATTGTTATGGACATCGATCTGATCCGTGAAGACACTAAAGTGCAAATCGGTCGACATTCGGACAAAGTATGCAATCATTTCTTGATGTCATTTATTGTCATTTCATAAATTGTTGTTTGAATGGAAAGCATTTGTTGGCCGACATATGGATAGTGAGGTCGAGTGAGATCGGCAGCGATAACCAGAAGCACAGCCGAACACATTTGGGACATCTCCTCAAACCGGGCGATATGTGTCTCGGGTTTGACATAAACGGCGCTAACATTAATGAACCCAATTTCGACAAATACGAGAGAAGCCATTCCGATAAGATTCCGGATGTGGTAATCGTTAAGAAGTTCTTCGGAGACAAAGTGACCAGAAATAGACGACGCGAATGGAAACTGAGACGCATTGAACTCGACAAGGCTTCCGACGGCAGTTCAGCCAACAGGGAGTACATGGACTTCATGGAAGACCTCGAAGAAGACCCAATGCTTCGCCAGAATGTCAACATTTACGCCGACAAAGAGAGGATGGAGTCGGCAATGGCTGTGGATTTGGACGAACTCGAAGCGGATGCGCCCAAAATAACACTTCAAGAAATGCTTGAGGACTTAGTTATCGATTAAACCATACATTACTTTACTTTTTATAAAAACTTAAATTACAATCAATTTATTATTAATAAAATGACACTAAATATCAAATGAGTGCAAAGAGTGTGTGTTTTAGGCGTAATAATTAAGGTTTGCTTTTTTCTTGGCCTGAACTTCGAGTATGGCGTCCATGAAGTCCTCGTGGATCACTTGAGAAGCGTTACGTCTGAGTGCAATCATACCGGCCTCGACGCACACCGCCTTACACTGAGCGCCGTTGAAGTCGTCGGTACATCTGGAGAGCTCGTCATAGTTCACCTCTTTGTCCACATTCATACGGCGGGAGTGTATTTGCATAATGCGAGCCCTGGCCTCTTCGTTCGGGTGCGGGAACTCGATCTTACGGTCCAAACGACCGGACCGGAGGAGCGCCGGGTCCAGAATGTCCACCCGATTGGTGGCCGCAATCATGTCAACATTTACGCCGACAAAGAGAGGATGGAGTCGGCAATGGCTGTGGATTTGGACGAACTCGAAGCGGATGCGCCCAAAATAACACTTCAAGAAATGCTTGAGGACTTAGTTATCGATTAAACCAAACATTACTTTACTTTTTATAAAAACTTAAATTACAATCAATTTATTATTAATAAAATGACACTAAATATCAAATGAGTGCAAAGAGTGTGTGTTTTAGGCGTAATAATTAAGATTCGCTTTTTTCTTGGCCTGAACCTCGAGTATGGCGTCCATGAAGTCCTCGTGAATCACTTGAGAAGCGTTACGTCTGAGTGCAATCATACCGGCCTCGACACACACCGCCTTACACTGAGCGCCGTTGAAGTCATCGGTACATCTGGAGAGCTCGTCGTAGTTGACCTCTTTGTCCACATTCATACGGCGTGAGTGTATTTGCATAATGCGAGCCCTGGCCTCTTCGTTCGGGTGCGGGAACTCGATCTTACGGTCCAAACGACCGGACCGGAGGAGCGCCGGGTCCAGAATGTCCACCCGATTGGTGGCCGCAATCACTTTGATGTCAGTGTTGGAGCTAAAGCCGTCCAATTGATTCAAGAGCTCTAACATAGTTCGCTGGACCTCACGATCGCCAGCCTTTTCGCTGTCGAAGCGTTTGGTTCCGATGGCGTCGAGTTCGTCGATGAAGATGATGGCCGGAGCCTTCTCTTTGGCCAAAGCGAACGCATCCCTCACCAGCTTTGCTCCGTCGCCGATAAACATCTGCACCAATTGAGGTCCGGCTAACTTCAAGAATGTCGACTTCGTCTGTGCGGCGCACGCCCTCGCCATCAGTGTCTTCCCAGTGCCCGGCGGGCCGTA